AAAAGCCACTGACCAGCTTTGGGCCATAGTTTGCCAACCTCCTCTGTAAGATAAGGAGAATAGGCAACAACGTGCCTCCCTTCCAGGTACCCAATACATACTTAGAGCAACTGGCATTTACTGAGTGCTCACAGTGCGCCAGGTATTGTGCTGAGTGCGTTACGCGCATTATCTGATTCAATCCTCACAGCCATCCTACGCCACAATTACTATCGTTATTTCTTTTACAGATAAAGAATTTGAGACTTAGAGAGATTAAGCAACTTCTCAACAAATAATAAATGGTGGAATCAGAATCTAAACTGAGACTAACTTCTGAATTACTAAGCTGTACGCTTAAAAAGGGACCCTCCTACACTGCTGATGGGAATGGAGCTTGGTGCAGTTGTTATGGAAAACAGTATGGAGATTCCTCAAAAGACTAAAAATAGGCTTACCATATGATCCAGCAATCCCACTCCTCGGCCTATATCCAGAACTTTAATTTAAAAAGATACATGCACCTCAACGTTCATAGCAGCACTGTTTACAACAGCCAAGACATGGAAGCAACCTAAATGTCCCTGGACAGATGACTGGATAAAGAAGTTGTGCTATATTTATACAATGGAATACTACTCAGTGATAAAAAAAATAATAAAATAATGCCATTTGTAGCAATGGATGGATAGACCTGGAGATAGTCATTCAAGTGAAATGAGCCAGAAGGAGAAAGAAAAATACCATATGAGATCACTTATATGTGAAATCTAAAAAAAGACATATGAACTTATTTACAAAACAGAAACAGACTCACAGACATAGAAAACAAACTTATGGTTACCAGAGGGGGAAGGGGGTGGGAAGTGATAAGTTGGGGGGTTTGAGATTTGCAGATACTAACTACTATACATAAAATAGATAAACAACAAGTTTGTACTGTGTAGCACAGGGAACTATATTCAGTATCTTATAGTAACCTATAATGAAAAAGAATATGAAAAGGAATATATATATGCATATGTATGACTGAACTATTACGCTGTATACGAGAAATTAACACAACATTGTAAACTGACTATACTTCAATTTAAAAATTTAAATAAATAAACTACATATTTCTGAAAAAGCTTTCAGCTGATGTACCCAAGAACATACAGCTAATGATTTATATGACACATATTAGAACATTGATTTCCTGACTCAGTGCTGATTTACTAAATATTCAGAGAAATCTACATTTTAAAGAGAGATTTGACAGCATTTTAACCCAATGAATAAATGTCTAGTGATATAATACCAAGTACTGAAAAAAGAGGTATTTTGGAAAGGATATGGGACCTTGAGTGTTACAAAGCTGAAATTAGGAAAAGCACTGCCTGTTGTTTCAGTAAAGTAGCACAAGAGAATCTTAATTATGGAACACTGAAGTGCAACAAATGAATTAGTATAAAAATATAACAGATTCCATTCCTGTCCAAAAATGTTAGAATAATAGTTAACACTATAAAATGGGAGAACAGCAATGGAGCTGTCAGGTAGTTCTCACAGGCCAGCTGAAGACAACAGGAAGAAACACAAGTGGAGAGAAATGTCCAGTATATAGATGGTGGCAGGAGAGTAACGTGACAAGTGCACAGCAGGAGTCACGAGAGGCAGCGTCTCAGGAAGCAATGCTCAGAAAAGCAGAACTGTAACTGAAGTGGGCTCCATGAGCTCTAGTGGGTGCTTTTATTATAACCTCTCTCCCTCCAAATAAAAAGAGCTCTTTTTGTTTCTCCTTTGACCAGAAGTATTGGAGGTTAAGCAAGAACAAAGATGTGGAAAGGGTGGAGAAATTATGCTTTGGAGATGGAAAGGCCTGTGTGGAGGAGAACTGTGTAGTAAACGTGACTTTCCTGGAGGCCACTTCCTTCTTCAGATTGAGGGGAAAAGCAAGTGATTCAAATCATGGTTCTCTGTTTGTCCCATGTAAGTAAAGGGCATACAGGCTGTTGCTACCATCTACACAAAAACTCACATCAAGGGCCTATCACCTGGATGATGATAGCAAATGTTCACATGGTCCTTAACTATGTGCCAGGCATTGTTCCAAGCACTTCACATGCAGTAAGTAATTTAACCCTCATAATAACCCTAGAAGATGGGCACCAGCATAGTCTCCACCTTTGATGAGGACGCTGAAGTGCAGAATGGTTGGGCAGCTTGCTCAGATTTACACGGCTAACCAAGGCAGAGCTGGAATTCAAACCCAGGCAGACAGGCTCCACACAACAGTCCACACACGCTTAACCATTCAGCTAAAAATAACTTCTTTGGCTTAATTGTGCACCACAAGCAAGTGACTGGCATCAGACCATCTCACAGCATATAAAAGGCCCCTGGTATTGGGCTGGGGTCCAGGTAAAGGCAGGACAGAGACTAGTGACTGGAGATGTAATCTTTCAGAGCTGGTATATCAGGAATGTTCTTGAGGAAGGAGCCTGAGCATGAAGGAAAGACAGAGACTCAATAAAAAGAGAAACTACCTCACTACGATAACAGTTTGGACATATTAAACTAGCAAACTGAACTGTACTAAAATTTGAGACCTAAACTGAATGTAATTCTGACCATAAATGCTGGTCTTTGTGAGTACTTGCATTAATTGTTAAATACATGAGGACATATAGTTAAAAAATTGAAGTAGCCATTTTACAAATGAATTTTTAGAATTAATAACTGAATAGAATACATGCTGACACTGACCATCCAGCACAGGAAGCAGTTCAGAAAGTGGGCTTTAGACGACATTACAGGGATGCAGGCATACTTCAGAGATGCTGTGGGTTCAGTTCCAGACCACCACAAAAAAGCAAGTCACATGAACTTCCTGGTTTCCCAGTGCATATAAAAGTCATGTGGGACTGTAGCCTATTAAGTGTGCAACAGCATTATGTACATACCTTAATTAAGAAATACTTTATTGGCTAAAAAAAATGCTAACCATCATATGAGCCTTCAGCAAGCTATAGTAGTGACATCAAAGATCACTGATCACAGATCACCATAACAAATATAATAATACTGGAAAAGTCTGAAATTTTGTAAGAATTACTGAAGCATAACACAGAGACATAAAGTGAGCCAGTATGTTGGAATGACAGTGCTGATAGACTCAGTTAATGCAAGGCTGCCACAAACCTTCAATTTGCTAAAAAAAAAAAAAAAAAAAAAGTAGTATCTGCAAAGCGCAAAAAAGAAGGAAAGCACAATAAAATGAGGTATGGCTGTGTTTTCTGAACTACTGACATAATATTCTTTCAACTGAATACTAAAATTAATATGTACAGAGAGATGTTTAAGTTTGAAACAAGAAGGTAAAGTTGGGATTTACAAGTTGCCATTTTAACTCACATAAGGGCACTAACACCAAAGTAAGAAAATTTAAGCCAGATCTTCTTGAAACATATCCTCAGGAAATTGCCTTTCAAGTTAATATAAATTTATTTTTTATTGCCAGATAAAAAAAAAAGCCAGAAATGTGAGCAAAAGTGGTCCTAAAATAAAAACCTAATATTTCTATATCCTAGTAAGTCAGCCGACTGTCGGGCAGCACACAGGGAGAAGACAAAAACAGACACTGTTTGAGGACATATTGCAAACGGTCACAGAGTCCTGCTTTCCCTGTGTGACAACAACAGCCCTAGGGCTCTATGAACAGGACTTTGGTAGGATGACCATACGGTTTCAAGAAAAATCTGGCATAAAATAAAATCAAAGTAAGGTAATTTTAAAAATAAAATTGTGTTAGCCCGTACCTTCCCAAAAGAGAAAGAACGGCATACACACACACACACACACACACACACACACACACCATTTGCGAATACGTATATTCCCAAATACGGGAAATATATACCCATGATATGAAAGATGTGTTAATGAATCTCTATCACACTTTGTATTTTACTATACATAATGCAGAGTTCATAAAAAATAGGAAAATGTATATATATATTTACAAAACATATGTTCCCAGAGAAGAAAATTTAAATTCTGAATGGCAGTCAATGGAAACTGGCAATCCCAGAGTTTAGCAAGGTCAGACAGTCAGGTAACTGGCAAAACCAGTGTGATTTCTGAAATCTAAACCCACTGCTGATTTCATTAGGAGCTGCACACCCTTGAACCCACAAGACCGTTTGCTGTCACTGCAGACAGTCTGGTTCCTCCTCTTCAGCAGCAATGGAGTAAATTATCAACACTGTATTTGAAACACAGAGAGGGTCAGGAAGGAGAACTCTCTGGATTTCTCCATTTTCTAGTCTAGTTCATTTCTAGTCTATTGTGAGGCCCAGCTGTACCTCTTCCCCTGAGTTACAATGGAAAATCTGTATTTCTTATTAAAACTTTTCCTTATTTTAAGCAGATTTTAGTTACTTGCAAAAAAGAACCTGACCAAAACAGGCAGCAGGCTTCAATTTGAACTCTGAAAGCCTGGAATGTCTAAGCAACCCAATTCTACAGCAGAACAATGGTTTTTAAAAAGTACACTGAAATATTAAACCTCCTAATCAATGCTATTCATGAGAATCATCTATTTTGAATCAAAGACTCTGAGCCAAAATGCATTCAGAGAAAATGCATGTCATTCATGTAGAAATAATCAGTTTCAATACGATAATGCCTGTGAAATTAAAAACTGCACTGAACTACATTTTCTGTGACAGTGGCTTTCAAGCCTATTTTAGGCAACAGTATATTTTCTTCGGCTGAAATCTCAGATTCATGCCCAATGCGCAGCACAGATCTGCTCGGGCTAAAGCACGGGCACGTGCCTGGGCAGGGTCACCTGCACACGTGTGACCCTGCCTGCTGCCCAGGCTCCTTCCCAGTCAGAGCCCGCCTGAGGCGTCACCGTGGAGCTCCTGTGGCCTGTGTGAATCAGAGCTTGGAAACCACTGTGCTAGAAAACGAAGTTACCCTTTTACACTCTACTGCCACCATCAAAACACCACATCAATCACATGCCTCTTTACCTGTGGGCTTTAAAGTTTTTTCCATCAACATGAACATCAATATCTGGGCAACAATGTTTCACGTAAAGTTTCAATAAATCTTCTCCTAATTCAGATGCAGGTTCCAAGTCATACATATCTTTAAAAGAGAAAAACAAGACTAAAAAAATTGTTTCTTTAATATTATGAATATTCCAAAATCTTGAATATTATATTAGCAAAACATTTTTCCACATAGTTATCTTAATTAGCTACTGAGAGCAAAAGTGACTAGAATACTTGAGTGGTAACTTCAAAATAAAATAAAACTTTAAAATCATCTATATTTTCTGTTCTTAAATATATATTTCTATTTATATTTAAATATAGATACACCTTTAAATACAGATACACATTTACACAGAGGTAGTGTTATCACAAAATTATAACCAGAATTGAAGCCAACTCATGAACATCTGACTTAGAAAGTTAAAAAATTTTCCAATTTTGATATTCTTTTTCACTATTTCATTTCTTCCTGTTCCTGTTCATGGACTGATGGCTAGCATGACCTGTGAACCAATAAAAATTCAACTGAAGTCAATGGGATTTATAGAGCACTTACTATGAGTTTAGCACTGTACACGGTATGGAGAGGAATAGAAAATAAATACTTTAAGACCTGCCTTTACTTCAAAGAGTCACGATTTAGGCAGTGGGAAGCGAAATATAAAACATGTATGTGTGTGTGTGTGTGTGCATATACATATATATAAAGAAAAACACTACACTGTGTATTATAGCTCTGTCAGTCCAGACACTTTCAGATTCTCACCGACCAACGTGCAAATTTACATACCTATAAACGAGAACGCCAACATCGGCTCCACGATCAAGAGATCCAGAAGCCAACCAGTCCCCAACGAGCCCGCCACCGCCACCCTAGTCCAGGCCACCAGCATCCCTCCCCGGGATCTCTGCAGCAGCTCCCTAGCAAGTGTCCCACTCTCCACTCTGCCCCGCCCCCAGTCTATTTTAAACAAGGCAGTCAGAGGTTTTCAAATGTAATTCAGATCACGGGCCATCCCCGTTCAGAACAATATGGGTCTCTGAGAGCGAAAGCCGAAGTCCTGCGAAGGCTTACCAAGCCCACGTCTGGCTCCTCGCCCCATCTCCAACCTCACTGCGTCCTTCCACGCTGAGCTCTCTCCCACTCCTCCAGATGGCAAGTTAAGTCCCCACGTGAGGGTACCCGCTGCGCTTGCTTCTGCCTTGAACACTCATCCCCTAGACAGCCACTTGGCTAACAGCCCTCTGTATTCAAATCTTTCTTTAAATATCACCTTTTCAATGAGGCTGACCCCGATCACTCATCTAACACTGCAGCTCCCACCACTAGGCTCCCAATCCCCCTTCTCTGTCCTGTTTTTTCCATAGTATGTCACCTTCTACCTTCTTTACTGTGTTATTGTCTACCTCCACCCCCACCTTACCTTCTCTAACTAGAATCTAAGCTCCAAAAGGGCTGGAAGTCCATTTTAGTCACTGAAGTATCCCTTACACCTAGAATAGTCCTGACACATAGGTCCTCAGTAAATATGTGTTGATTAAATTAATGTATCAAATACCACATAATAAAGATTTTTGGAAGAAAAACATAAAACTTCAACCGGAATAAAGCAGGGGAAGGAGAGAGATCCTACAACTTCTAGATAGTCCTATAGGAGCCTTAAAGCTCATAAACTGATGGGAAATATTCAGGAGAAACAGTCTTCATTTTGGTGATTCATATATCAAGAGTATAATCTTTGACACACAGGGAAAATCGAGAAACTTTCAAAATGGAACCAGCTTAATCTGAGAGACGGTCACCTATCCCAGCTCCATTTACGCACTCACGTGGCTTCCTGAACCTGAGTACATCACAGTGTGGTCCTTCTTCCCTGTTCCTGGCGCAGAGCTCCTCAAACTCTTGAAATTTCCTGAATTATGCAGTTGGATTCTTTCGGTATTCATAACAAGCCTTTTCCCACCATACCTGACTTGATGCTAATGAGGTGACTTAGCAGGGTTCCTAAACAGCTTCATGATGGAGGCTGGTCACCAGAAAGGACAAACATGTGATTAGACGGTGGGAACTTCCAGCCCTACCCACACCCCACCTGTAGGGTGGGAAAGGGGGCTACACATCGAGTTAGAAAAACACTTGAACAGTAAGATTCAGGGAGCTGCCGGGCTGGTGAACACACTGACATGCTGGAAGATGGCGCAGCCCTGAGAGGCCATGCTCTGTACACCACCCCTTCCCCCACCCCTGCACCTCACCCTGCGCGTCTTTTCCATTTGGCTGTTTCTGAGTTGTATCTTTTATAATACACAGGTAAACACAAGTGAAATGTTTTCCTGAGTTCTGTGAGTCATTACAGCAAATAACTGAACCTTGGAGGAGGGGCCATGGAGACACCTGAGTTTGCAGTCACTGGACACGAGTGTGGGTAGGAAAGGAGACCAGAATGTGTCACCCCAAAGCATGCCGCTTTGGCATAAGGACCATTTTGAGTTAAAGGTAACTGAGAACAAGCAGATGCAGGAAAAGCTATTTACATCCCCTCAACCGCCTGAAAATAAAAGTACGAACTTTCCTTTTTGTAAAGGAAATTTCCATTTGTAAAGACATCTCCCGACCAGGAGGAACCTACTCTCATCACTTGACTCCGCATAACAAGACAACCCGCATTCACCACACATCTGCCCCCTCGCCTTCCCACAGCTTGCCTCCAGCACCTGGCAGCCCCAAAGCCCTTTCTTTCACTTAGCCTAAGATGACATGAAAGCCTCAAGCATCTGGTCTCTCCTTGATCTCATTTCTTTGTGAAACTCCTGGTACAAAAGTGAGTACTGAAAACCTGCCCCCTCCCACCGCCATCCCCTAACTCCTGTTAATCTGTCTTATTCCAGTTTAATTCCTCAGCCAGTTACAGAACCGAGGAGGGTGGGAGGAACCCTCTCCCCCCCTGCAGTGGCCGAGGCACCCCATCTGTGGTTCGCATCTGAAGTGGGGCCAGTCCGGTGGGACTAAGCCCTTAACCTGCGGGGGTCTGAGCTAACTCTGGACAGTCAGTGTCAGAACTGAATTGCTGGATGCCTAGTTGGTGTTGGGAGAATTGGCTGATATATGGAAAAAGTCACACACATTTGGTAACAGAAGTGGTACCAGGAAAAAAACACACAATCACAGAAACCCAGAAGTTAATGTTCCCCAACCTGAAGTCATCTTTTCACTCTACCTTAAATGTGCCTGTTCATACTCCTTAAGCCTGCAGAGCAGTGTCACTTCAACTCCTTACAATAGCTGATGAGTAAGGCGACCACTTCTGGTCTGCCTGGGACAGACGGTGCGATTACTGCCTGCGGCCCCAGAACAATTATTAGCAGCAATAATCATCTTCCACCTTTCACCCTCTCAAAGGAATCCCACTTTGGACAGCAAAATATAAGGCCATCCTTTATATAAGGCTCTTGACGATCTGGCTTATGCTTCTATGTCCAGGCTCATCTCTTACAGTGACCGTCCGTCCCTGTCCCCAACTCCACCCTACAACAAACCGTTTCTGGATTTCCAAATTTGCTATGTGCTTGGTTCTCCTTGCCTCTGGGCACGCTGTTTCTTTTGCCTGGAACACTTCTCCCCTAAATTCTTTATGTCTGGTTAGTTCATGCTTTTTCTTCGGACTCAATTCAGACATCACTTCCTCCGTCACCCCCTCCATCACTCCCTCCCTGTAGCATTCGCTGGAGGCCGACGTCTAGGTTCCACGTGCCTGCTGTGTCCTCCTCACACTGGTAGATAACCCAGTCTAGCTGACTATACGTCCTACTACCTGCAGGACAGGAGCACTGTCTGCGCTGTTCAGCATCAAGTCTTCAAAACTGGCACAAAGTTGTTACTTAAGTAATGTGATGAATGATTAGAACGGCATTTCAGGAGCAAACAGCAAGTGCAAAAGCACAGAGGTGACAAAATACAGTTCTTTGGGGGAAAATGCCAAGTAATTCAGTAAGAGTAGAGCTCAGGGTGGGTATAGTGGTTGTGAAGACAAGAGGCAGCAGAGTTCTGGGCAGGAGCCAGCTCACAAAATCCCCTGACACCATGCGGGAGAATCCGAGGTTTACGTCAAGGCTGTGTGAGACTAGTGAGGAATTTTAATAAGGGAAGTGCCGTGATCAGACTTGCACTTAACAAACATTGTCCTGTGCGACGTCAATGGACGGCGGCACAACAGCAGGCCTGGTGACCAGCTGGGGTGCAAGTTCTCAAGGAAAACAGAAAAGTCCTGAAATAAAGAAACAGCAGGAGGACAAAGAAGAGACGTGTTTCAGAAGATGTAGCAGGTAAGTCAACAGACACAATCGCGAATCAGATGAAGCGTGAAAAGTGAGTGAGTAGAAAGACGGCAATACGAATTCACACTGACAGAGAACTCAAGAAAAGGGCAGGTTGGGAGGTGATTAAGTCACTGGGGGACAGGTTAAATATCGAGATACTTAGGGTGTATTTAGACAGACGTGCCAGTGTTCGGATGTGAAGCTCAAGAAAATTGGAGAATAACAATCATTTAAGGGGCAGAAAGACGATGTGCCAGTGAAGAAGACTGAGGATGGCCACGAGGGGAAATCCAGAGAGCACAGTGTCAGAGACACGAAGTCTGAAGGAGGGCGGCGCTGACAATGGGCAAGACTGCAGAGGAGGAATAAGATGTGGACAAACAAGTGCGGTTAAACGGGTCAGCGTGGGGGCTTCCACGGAGTAACAGGGGAGGTGGGTGACAGCAAGGTGCTGAGGGGCAAATGGGCTCTTTCCACTCACACTCACAGCTCGCTGCGCCACTTAGCGGGCTGCTGTGGACCGTGGCAGCGCCTGGAGGCGGGAAAACGGGCACCAAACACCAGCTGCGCCCACTGCTCTCTCCACGTGGCCTCCCCGTCTCAGAGTCCTCATCTGGAAAGTCAGTCAGTAACCACTCACTTCTGAGGGTTGAAACTAATGAGATAAAAATACACAGAGATCTACCTCACGCCTAGAACAGGCACGCATTTATTTATTCCCACACTTGCCACAACGCGATATGGTGAACACGCACAAAAGAAACTAACCGAGCTTAAATCAGGGCATTTGTTTTTACTGTTGTTAAACTAACCATCAGTAACAAAATTCTTCAGTTAACAGATACTTTCACATACATTCCACTCCACTACAACAGTTGTTTTGAACACATGAGTTTGAACCAACACAACTGATCTATTAGGGAATAATTTGAGCATAGTAGGTCTTTTTTTTTTGCTCAGGTGCAATTTAATCCACGAAAAATTCTAGGTCAGTGCAAAACCCTGCACCCAGCTGAACTGAGCCATGTGCGAATACACAAAACATACACAGACACCTAAAACATCTACCAGACACCTCAGGTCATCCCCACCCCCCATTTCTGGTGCCACAGATTTCCATCCGGTTTCACACAGCAACTGCTGGGAGACCATTTTCTGTGAATATTTTTGCGTTTCCATATAGTCTGGCCTTTCTGAGCAGAACACTGGGAAATTTGAATAAAGGATAATTAAACAACAAACATGCCTTGGAAGTTAGAGATAATGTGATGCTCCAGAAAGATTCAGAGACTATCCTCCCCTTAAAACCATTTCCTTACCTTCCAGGGCAGCGAAGCTACCGAGAAGACTTATTTACCTTCCTAAGTAAAGGTCTCTCTCTCTCTCTCTCTGCAGAGGAGAATGGGCAGATCCGGGCCTATCAAAGTCCCACAAGGTTGCTGTCCCTCTCCTGTGGTGCAATCCCACTGCACCTGCAGAGCGGGGAACATCAGGCCCTCTCCACACAGCCTCGTGGGGCCTGGGGGTTGGGAACCGGTGCTGAGATGCTCTGTGAATAATGAACAGCCCGTTCTCTGATCCCAGGGCCTGGAGTCTCCTGTTAGAACAATGACTATATCTACATCCCCAACATCCTTCTTCCCCCAGTTCACAGCAACTCACAGGCCACAACCCTCTGACATCCACTTCTACAGACAAGCTAGAGGTCATATTTATTGTAGTATTTAAGTCGTTTCTGAACCATTTAACATGGGTAAAACTATGCTACCATTTTATTAGGTTCCTGTCATTTTAAAATGTGTCATGACAGAAGTTTTAGTAATTTGTATCATGACAAAATGTAATGGTGATTTTTGTGTTGCATGGTGTTTCTTAAGGAATGCACAAACGGTGTTACAACAGAATTGATTCTATAGTCTGCCAAAGCTTTCACTGGTGTAGATTACAGTAAGGATGACAACACGTGGAGGCTCGAAAGGAGAACTGTGGATTATGAGTGTGTTTATTAACAACCCCATCTCTGCTTGCTCAGGAGAGCTGGGAGTTCACCATGTTATTATCTCCATTTACCCATAAATTATTTACTTTCATTTATTTCTTACACTTAACTTTCACTTACTTTTATTTCATTTACTTATAAAAAATGATCATTAGAGTTGATTTTTGAAGTATGTTTTTCTCTAATTGTATCAGGGCTATAAAATTTCATAAAAATCCACAAAAAAATACCTCACCAGTGGAAATTAATTTGTCTTCTTTGTCACTGATATCTTCTGGAATTTCATGCTTCAGCAGAGAACAATCAGATGATCTTTTACCTAAGAACTCTACAGATGACCTTCCATCATTGTCAGTACACTTTCCAATACTGAAGTCACATTTCTTTTGTGGTACTCCACTCTCCAGTATCTTTTCCCTAAGAATTTCCTCTTCATAGTTTTTTATGTTTCTGCTTGATGAGTACACAATCCTAAAAGTCAAAATGTAAAATATTAATAAAAATAACGTAGGTGATTCTTAAAAGCTACTTTCCCAACATGCTGCTTTCATATGTAACAGCTATATAGTTTTAAACCCTTTCTAATCTGGACTAACTGGAGAAAGGGCAATCTAAAATGACAGAAAGTTTGAAAAGCAGTCTATAAATAATTTTAATGTGAAAAATGAATATATAATGGCAACAAATTAGATAACCTAAATGAAATGGACAATTCTTAGGAAGGATACACACTACCAAACTTGATCTCAGAAGAAACAGAGTATCTAAATAGATAAATTCAAGAGAAGAGATTGAATTAGTAATCAAATACTTCCCACAAAGAAAAACCCAGGACCACGTGGTTTCATTGGTGAACTCTACTAAATGTTTAAAGAATTAATGCAAACCCTTCACAAACTTTTCCAAATA